GAGCGCCCCCGCCCAGCCCTGCGGCGCCCCCCGGCGGAGGGATACGGCGGTGACCCAGAAGCCGGGGATGTTCTGGATGATGAGGTTGCGGCGCTCGAGGTGGGGCCGGCGCATGTGGCCGAACTTGGCCTTGAGGATGCGGAAGGCGCAGCCGGCCTGCTCGTTCACCGCCGCCAGCTCCAGCTGCACCGCCTCCAGCGCCTCCAGGTACTGCTCCGTGTCCGGGGCCGGCCGGGCCGCCGCGGCCCCCTCCTCCTCCTCCTCTTCCTCCTCCCCCACCGAGATGATGGAGCACTCCTCCTCCGCCCTCCTCTTCCTCCGCCCCTCCCGGCCGTCGGCGGTTTCCAGGCCTCCCTTCCCCTCAGCGGCGGCGGTGTCGAGCCTCCCCATCTTGGCAGCGGCGGCTTCCAGGACCCCCTTCCCCTCCGCGGCGTCAGTCTCGAGCCTCCCCATCTTTGTAGCTGTTGTTTCCAGGACCCCCTTCCCCTCAGGGGTGTCGGTGTCGAGCCTCCCCGTCGTTGTGGCAGCGGTTTCCAGGACCCCCTTCTCCGCAGCGGAATCAGTTTCAAGGCTCCTCTTCACCCCGGCTGCACCTTGGGGGCTCAGCTCCCCCTCAGAAGTTTCTTGGTCCAACTTCCTGCCGCCGGCGGTCTTGGGGCTCCCCTTCCCGTTGGCGACAGCCTCGAGGCTCCCCTGCCCGCTACCGGCGGTGTCTAGGCTGCCCCGCGGGGGGAGGGCAGTTTCCAGGCCCCCCTCCCCAGCAGGGGGCGCCAGCCCGCTGACGGCAGTTTCCAGGTCCCCCTGGGCCGCGGGCGCCCCCTGCCGGCCGGCGGTTTCCAGGCCCCCCCAGGCCGTCAGCTGGGTCAGCGCCTGGGCGGCCTCGGTCTCCTTCAGCAGCGGGCCCGGGCGGCGGCGCTTGGCGGCCGGGGAGGGTGGTGGGGTCCGGGGGATCCCCCCGTCCCCGCTCATGGTTCGGTCCGCTCAGGCCCGGGGGCGGGGCCGCGCCAGCCCCCCTCCCGCTCAACCCTCGTTTTCAAACGGAAGAGGCGCGAGGGGAGCAACGGCCGCCGCCAACTGCCAAACTCGAGCGCCTCGCGCGTCTCTCCCTCCCCCCTCTGTTCCTCTCTCCCCTTCCCGCTCTGATTGGCCAGCGGCAGGGCGGCCCCGCCAACGGCGGGAGGGGAAAGCCTTCCGTCCCACGTGGGGGGGCGAACCGGGCGGCCACTGGCCGGCGGCGCCAGCAATCGTCGCGGGTTCCGCCTTCGTCCCGCCTCCCACGTGGGGGACCCGGACGCTGATACGACGGGCGCCTTCTCGGCGGCGGCCAATGGGCAGGAGGCGGAACCAGGCTCGGTGGATTCGGTCGCGTCCGCCAGAGATGGGGCGGGGCGGGGGCCCTCGGCAGTGTCTCAAAGGGAGACTGCGCGGGACGCATGCGCGTTGGCAGGAACGTCCCTCGGGGCATGCGCAGTAACGCCGAATGCGGCGCTTGCGCCCTGGGCACCGAGCTGTGGGTAAGCGCGCGCCCGCCAGGCGGAGCAAATGCACGTGGCGCGTAATTGCTCGTTGCGCCGACGTAGTGCTCCGGGAACAACGGTGCCTTGCACACGAGAGTGCACCAGAAACAAGATTGTGTGATGTATAATAGTGCATTGCACAAGCCTATGCTCTGCACAGAATAGAGCCCCGCAAATAATGGTGCGTTGCACACGAGAGTGCAGTGCATACAATGCATTGTGTGCAATTGTGCATTACACGTAGTAATGCACTGCAAACAATAGATCCCTGCACAGACTGGTACATTGCAAACGAGAGTGCATTGCACAATACAATGCCCTGCAAACTATAGAGCCCCGCAAATAATGGTGCATTGCACACGAGAGTGCAGTGCATACAAGGCATTGTGTGCAATAGTGCATTACACGTAGTAATGCATTACACGTAGTAATGCACTGCAAACAATAGAGCCCTGCCAATAATGGGGCCCCCGTGAATAATGGTGCCTTGCACGTGAGAATGCACTACAAACAATAGTGCATTGTGCATTGCACATGGCAAAGCAAATATTAGTCGTGCTGCAAATAGCCGTCGGCCTCATAAAGAACAGCCTGGAGGGGAGCAAAAGATACTGCCTCCCCTGCCCCACGTGAGGGGCAGTAGATTGCAGGGGGGGGGGCTTTTCCAGCCGGACCCTATAATCCAGCAAAGAGGAAATACAATTGGGGAGGGGAGGGGGTTGCTGC